AAGTCAGAAAAAGAATTAGAAGACATGCGTCATATGGTTTCTTAGTCTAAGCCTCCGCCGCCTCATGCATTTTAGAAGGAATTAAGTGGTGAGGAAAAGAAAAGTGACAGAAGGGAAGAATGAAATAGGCGAGTAATGTGCTTAGTAGAAGGCCATAAGGCAATCATGGTCTTTCAGTATGTCATACCCTTTAGTGCTGACAGCCAGTATGTTCCTTCTTCACCCTACACACATACCTGTTGACAGGCATGGAAATTGTTGAAGCTTTTCAAAGGAGCAGGGAGATTTGTCTAGGACAAATGACCATGTAGACAAAAATATGTTTTCTTCTGTGTCATGTATAAAGCCCAGAGTTCCTAACAGAAGCAGTTTTCTGTTGCTCAAAAATGATCTGACTGTATTTAGTGTATTTAATTCATGGGTTCCATTAAAGCTGCAAGAATAGGCTTGTAATGCCACCAAAATATCCTATGTATGTCAATTTGATATGACCAGAGTTTAGAGTCCAAGAGTCTTTGCAACATTGGGATGGACTGAAGACTGACAGGTCAGAGGTTCAAATCCGGGGAGAGTGCAAATGAGCTCCCTCTATCAGCTCCAGCACCCCATGCGGGGAAATGAGAGAAGCCTCCCACAAGGATGGTAAAACATCAAAAACATCTGGGCATCCCCAGGGCAACGTCCTTGCAGATGGCCAATTCTCTCACACCAGAAGCGATTTGCAGTTTCTCAAGTCACTCCTGACATGAAAGAAAATGGGATGGATTCTTTGTGGGGTACATATCTTATGACCTTATCAGATAGGCAAAATTGTCCATTGTATGATTCTCCCTCTTCATTTGTGACATGGAGCTTGCCAGCTCCCATCTCATGACATAGACCTACTCCCAGTGGGGCTCTGAGGTGCAATTAAAGAAGGGGCATATTTTGCCATGCTGGCAACACAAGAGGCTTCCTGTGTTGTATAGAATCATAGTTGGAAGAGACCACATGGGCCATCTAATCCAACCCCATGCATGTCATTAATAAAGATGTTGAACAGTACTGGGTCCAGGACCAAACCCTGCGGTACTTCACTCATCACTTCTTTCCAGAATGAAGAGGCAGCATTGATGAGCACCCTTTGGGTTCGGTCATTTAACCAATTACAGATGCACCTAGTACTAGCACTGCCTATTCCACATTTGACTAGTTTGCTTGCAAAAAGTTCATGGGGAACTTTGTTGAAGGCCTTGCTGTAATCAAGATATGCTATATCCACAGCATTCTCTGCATCTACCAAGTTTGTAGCCCTATCGAAAAAAGAGATAAGATTGGTCTGGCATAACTTGTTTTTGAGAAATCCATGCTGACTTTTAGTAATTACAGCATTCCTTTCTAAGTGGTTGCAGACTGCCTCCTTAATTATCTGCTCCAGAAACTTTCTTGCTATTGATGTCAGACTGACATCAATGGCTTCAGACTACAGCAGTGGTTCTCAACCTGTGGTCCCCAGATGTTTTTGGCCTTCAACTCCCAGAAATGCTAACAGCAGGTAAACTGGCTGGGATTTCTGGAAGTTGTAGGCAAAAAACATCTGGGGACCCCAGGTTGAGAACCACTGGACTACAGGAAAGGACTTCCTAACTTTGAGAGCTGTTCAGCAGCGGAACCCTCTGCCCCAAAGTGTGGTGGAGTCATCTTCTTTAGAGGCTTTCAAACAGAGGCTGGATGGCCATCTGTCAAGGGTGATTTGATTGCAATTTTCCTGCTTCTTGGCAGGGGGTTGGACTGGATGGCCCATAACGTCTCTTCTAACTCTATGATTCTTTGATTGGATTGTTATTCTTTGGGTCCTGTATTTTCCCTTCTTGAAGATAGGGACAACATTTGCCCTCCTCCAGTCTGCTGGGACTTTTGTTCTCCAAAAATTCTCAACAGGGGGAGGCCAGGTGGCAAACACTTCCCCCCATGTGGTGGGGTGGAAGGAAAGGAGGGTGATGCAGGACACATGGCAACAGGTTCTCTATGCTCCCTGCCAGATTTGCCACAATGCAAGGCGAATCCCAGTCTTAATGTGATGAGGTCTATAGTCCAGCAATTTGGAGCAGCAAAGTATTATGGTTTGGTATTGCTGTTTCCAATACAGAACTCCAGACTGGGGCCTCTGATTTCCAGTTCGCATACTGAGAAACTGGAAGAATTAATTGACTCAACACTCCGAGCTTTCAGCTAATTAACAAGAAATATAAGCGGGCCAGGCAAAAGGTTATGTAAATGTCTACCAGAGGGTGTAAATCTCTCGTTGAGACAGACCAGGGATCGATTTGCAGGACTGGGCTTGATGAGCAGGATATATGTTAAATGTTTCCATAGTGTGCAGTGAACTGTAATAGAAAGTAAGATATTTTTATTTAATTATGTGTCCAAAACTCACCACAGGGCTGCTACTCCCAGAGCTAAAGCTACTTCAAAATGTGTTTTGAGTCACAAATCTTGGAAGATGTTTTCACTACATCTCTTAAAGGTACTACAAGGTACCTTTTGCTTGCCTCTAAAAATCCATAGAAAAAACATGTGAGATTGGAATGAAACATTTCCAGGTCAGAGTTCGATGTTTCAATGTATATTTAGCTGACACTTACATCCATCAATTCATCCACAAATCTCTAACCATTGCCAAATGTAACACTGGAAAAGATACATACTTGAACAATAACTTCAGTGGGGGATAAAAGTTGCAGAGCTTTTACTCAAGGACCTTGAATGTGGAACCCACACATCCAGCTACTTTAATATATATACGGTCCTCATTGGACGTATCAAGCTACATGGGATTGTTGTACTCTATCCACACAACTGGAAGCAATTCCCCTGTCCTTAGGTGATCCCTCATTGTCTGAGTAGGATTGTCTTCCAAGATCAGTGTACTGGCAGTGGGTCCGTAGGTGTCTGTGGAGCCCTATTCTTGATCTGCATCTTCCCCCGCAGTGAGGGCATTGCTTTCCAGGTGGAAGGCGGTCCCAGTCAGGGTTGGCTTGATGCGCCTTCCTCTTGGCACATTTCTCTCTTCCGCCCTCAATTCATGCCTCTTCAAATTCTACAGCACTGCTGGTCACAGCTGACCTCCAGCTGGAGCGCTCAAGGGCCAGGACTTCCCAATTCTTGGTGTCTATGCCTCAGTTTTTAAGGTTGAGTTTGACCCCATCTTTAAATCTCTTTTCCTGCCCACCAACATTCTGTTTTCCGTTCTTGAGTTTGGAGTAGAGCAACTGCTTTGGGAGACAGTGGTCGGGCATCCGAACAACGTGGCCGGTCCAGCGGACCATTGCTTCAATGCTGGTGGTCTTTACTTCTTCTAGCATGCTGCTATTTGTCTGCTTGTCTTCCAAAGAGATTTGCAGGATTTTCCTGAGGCAGCGCTGATGGAATCGTTCCAGGAGTTGCATGTGATGTCTGTAGACAGTCCATGTCTCACAGGCTTATAGCAGGGTTGGGAGGACAATAGCTTTATAAACAAGCACCTTGGTATCCCTATGGATACCAAGGGATACTGTAGGGAATTCCCCTGTAGTCACAGAAGCACACATTCTCACCCGTCTTTCACATTTGACTGTATGAGAAACATTTGGCTTGGTTACAAAACTCTCATTGAACACCATTTTCTTCTATTTAAAGCCTAAATATGTCTGAGAAGGGAGATCACCCTTGTGATTGAGACATTCAGGAGCAAAGAAACACTCATGTCAAGAAGTTGGTAGGCACTCCTAACCAAACCTGGAAATGTTTGTTTTGGATTCTCAGAATTTCCCAATGCTAGCTGGAAGATCCTGGGAGTTGTATGTAGTCTAAAAAAAGAACTTTTCTGAGCTCAGCTCCTAGTCCAGCTTGCTGAGGTTTCTCGGGAACTTCTTTACCAGCTTTTCAACATGGATGAGTGGTTGAACTCATAAATAGGACATATTCTGAATTACAATGCACCAGGCACTTCCAGCAGCTCCAATTAAAGGTACATTAATTAAAGAGGTGAGACAGAGAGCAGTAAAGAAATGAGGTATTGCTTTTTTAAAGAAATCAAAGCATTAAAATTGACTAATTAACACTGACTTAACAGAAACTCTAAAGTACTTATCAATTTGCATAATATAAGCGGGTAGACAACATCCCACTCAGCCACTGAAGATGGAGATAATAACTGCTTCTTTAAATAATACTATTTTTGTAGGGAGAATCCCAAGGGAGAAGGAAAGAACGATCCGATCAAAAAGGATTTTGACTATGTGTGTTGCAATATTTAACATAGCATTGGATTCCTGCAAATCATGTGTTGAGATGTAACATGAAGGGATTTCCCATCCACTTGTTTTTCTCTTTCTGACAGTCTGTGTGGCATGATGCAAATATATTGTGCCTACATGAGTGCTTTGGCAATGACGACTAAGGAGTCTCTTCAGCCAAAGAGGGGGCATTCACAGAAAGGGTGGATCTTGCTTTTCATTACAGACCCATTAAGCTCAGTGTGATTTATTTCTAAATACACATGCATAATATTGTACCGTTAGTCATCCCACAGTGACAACCTGTCATAACCCAAAATGGATTCTAATCAGTTTCAACCTTCAGCTGGGCCTTAACACACACACATACACAGGAATGTTCCAGGAAAAATAGAGCTGGTCAGTTATCATGCTATGCCAGAACTAAAATTTTGTATCATATTTAGACTGGCTTCCCGAAGAGATATGGCAGTTGCATGGCAAGAGCTAATGGGATTCCCTTGAGTGGGCCATGTTTGTCTTACTGGTATATTATGGAATCCAATTACATGGAAGTTGACTGTCCGTCTTCAGCATTTAGATTCTATAATCCAGAAAAATTGAAACTGGTGACAGTTAAGATTGTGACTTATATACAATTGGATTTTCTTGATTGTTTTTTTCACATGTACTAGAAAAAAACTAGAAAGCTTAATTTTCCATTTTAAATCCATAATTGTTCTTTTATTTATTTATTTTTCAAAGCTGAGAACAACTCACAGAAGTCTTTTCAAGATCACATAATACTAAAACAAGGATACTTGGAGAAAAAATCCAGAGGTAAAGGAACAATTAAATCATGGTTACTGTTGCTGCTTCATGTGTGTGTGTGTTTATGCATGTATTTAAGAATGTACTTTACTTGGTATGTTTCTAGCCCACTTTACTTCCTCAGAGGTCAAGGCAATGTTCATTGTCCTCCTCCCAATTTTCTTTGTTGGGTAGGGTAGTCTGAGAGATGGTGATTGGCCCCGGATCGTTATCAGTTCACATCCCTTTATCTTATGTCAACAGTGAACTGAAAGACTATGCGACAGAAACTGTGGGCAGAAAGTCACAGTTAGATGCAGTGTTCACAAGTATTATTATATTATATATATTTATATCCTACTTTCCTCTCTGAAACAAGACTCAAAGCAGTTAAGTACCCATGACAAAACAGTGGCACGTTACACATTAACTTCAAGAGGTGTTTATGTGGACATTAAAATAGTCAATGCTGGCCAGACTTTGTAAAAGCAGATTTACACTGATTGCTCAGCAGACAGATTTGTCTTCATGGAAGTCAATGCTTAAGAAATAACTGGAGATTCCTCAAGAGAATGTTCTAAATGGAGAAAGCTTTCAAATGGCAAAGGTGCCATCCTCATTCAGCAAAAGGGAGGCTTATTTGTATATGGAGAGATAATATTAAGGGTATTGTTTCAAATAAAATTTGGGGAGCGAGTTGTGTTAGTTTGTGGACAACACAACACAGATGGCACCTTACATTTTATTTGGTATAAGCGTTTGTGGACTATACCTGATGAAGTAGGTTGAAGTCCATGGAATCATCTGTCAAATAAAATGTGTTAGTTTTAAGATGCTATAAATTTAAGAACAACCTATGTTTTGGGTTGAGGGAGATACCTCACCCTGTTTTTCCAAAATAATGTGCCCCTTCCCTGTTGCACCATGGGCTCTTGGTAAACAAATCTCTCCACTGTTCATGTTGGAAAGAGATAAATTTGGTCAAGTTAGAAAATAAAGGTAAAGGTTTCCCCTCGATGTTAAATCTAGTCATGTCCAACTCTGAGGGGTGGTGCTCATCTTCTTTTCTAAACTGAAGAACTGCCGTTGTCCGTAGATGCCTCCAAGGTCATTGGCCAGCATTACTTCATGGAGTGCTGTTACCTTCCCGCCGAGGCAGTACCTATTGATGATCCCAAATTTGCATGTGTTCAAACTGCTAGGTTGGTAGAAGCTAGGGGTAACAATGGGAGTTCACCCCACTCTCCAAATTCAAACCGCCAACCTTTCAATCAGCAAGTTCAGCAGCTCAGCGGTTTAACCTGCTGCACCACTAGGGGCTCCTAAGTTAGAGAATAAACGGAACATATACTTAGGAAAGGTACACCCTCAAGTGAAAAATTACTTGGTTCTGCTACTCTTCATCTATATAGTTTGCATTTATCATGAATTGTTTTGTGATTCATCATTAGAAGATAAACCTTCACTGGCATACGTTCTGCTTCAACATATGTTATGACAGTATTTCCTGCCCAGTTTATTGTATTGTTGCATGTTCTTGCGCTCCTGTAAAAATGTATTGCACTCATTGAATCTGTACCTCAGCTATGTTTCTTTCAGCTGTATTGTTTTTATATTGCTTTCAATTGTGTTGTTATTTGTTTTATCTGATGTTTTAATTGGTTAAAGTGTTTCACATGTGTGTTTTAATTGTAATCTTGGGCATGTCCCTTGTAAACCACCCCGAGTCCCCTAGGGGAGATGGTTGGTGGCGTATAAAAATAAAGTAGTCATTATTATTATTATTATTATTATGCTTGGAAACATATGGCTAAGGACTTGGCCTCATAGGAGAGGGAAATTAAATATCTATTTTTATCTTCTAAACACAGAATTGGCTAGATAGCAATCCATAGAACTTCACAGCATTCAAGGATGGGACAGTGTGTAGTATCTGCTAGTGGAGAAACCAATCAATCAAAACTTTATTAGAGTCCAAAGACCCAGTTTGCTCAGCTGTAAAAGGTGTACAACTGCAAACAGATTAATAAACTGATAAGACTAATTAAATATGGGAGGAAATTATAAATATTTGAAGCACACAGGTGACAAATGTTATAAATTGATATGTGTATTTTCATTGCGTTAATGCAGTGGTTCTCAACCTGTGGGTCCCCAGATGTTTTAACCTCAACTCCCAGAAATCCCAGCCAGTTTATCAGCTGTTAGGATTTCTGGGCGTTGAAAGCCAAAACATCCGGAGATCCATAGGTTGATAACCACTGGGTTAAATGCAAATTTCTCTACCAGATTTCTTACAATTGATAGTAGGCAGAAAAAACTGTTTTCTGTGCAGAGCCTTGTACACTGTTGGCAGAAACAGATTGCCTGGGAGCAGAAGTAGGAGTAGTTCTTGGTGGCAGGGATTGATGATAACAACAGCCTCCGATTAGCATAGGCCTTGGGAACTTTGGAACCTCCTTGGAGATGGAGAATCATTTCCTGTTTCCAAGCTATTGACTCCTGACCTTTATTCACCTCCTTCTCCTTTCATGTTCACAGACCCCAAAATCTTTGGCTCTGAGTGGCAGAAACGATGGTGTGTCCTCGACAATATGGCCTTCTGTTACTATGCGAATGAAAAAAGTATGTAATGCTCCTGACACACCCACAAACCTCTAATGTTATCATGTGATTGCACTGAGAAGAAAGATAGCAGGAATCTATTGAAGGACTCATGAAACACCTTCATGAGTTTCCAGTTTTTCACATCAGAGAGTGGCATAGGCATTTTTGCTCTAAAGCCAGTTCAATTCAGTATCACCTTTAACTGATGACATTCCTTTCCACACTTGCTTTTATACTGCTGCAAGGATCTTAGAGAGTTTTGTTGTTGCATACCTTCAATCCATTCAGACTTATGGCTACTCCAAAGCATACGTATCACATGGGTATTCTTAGCAGAATTTGTTCAGAGGGTGTTTTCCCTTGCCTTTCTCCGCAGATGAGACAGTATGACTTGCTCAAGGTCACCTATTAGATTTCAATGTCTGAGTTGGGAATTAAGCCCTGGTCTCCCAGTGTCCTAGTCCAACATTCAAACCACTACACCATACTGACTCTCCAGAGAGATATCCAGAGGATTTAATAAACTATTCCATTACAACTCTGGAAAAATTTTACACCTAAACTTACCCAATAATTTTCATAGCCAATCATGGATAAGAATCGCGGTCTCCCTGATCCACATGCAACACTTTAAGCATTGCATCACATGAGCTCTTCCAGCTGTATGATAAATTGCCTACCAGGCAGTGTGGGATTCTGCCATTTAGATACGGCCTTAGGAAGAACATAGTCTGGTTGTATTCTAACACCCTTGTCAGTAAAGAATGAGGGAAAGGAGAAATACGGACACAAGGCCCTGTGTAAATAAAGTACTGCCCATTTTCCCCCCTATTAGCTGTCAGACTGGCTTTAACCCTCCCCTAAGTGACCATATATAATCTTTGTGTCAGCATGTATAAATATTTTTCAGTTATGCTCCATCAGATGCATATAAACAGGAAGCTAATACTTCCAACTGAATTTGGCATGCTTAGATAGATGGCCTAGGGATATACTGTGCCTCCCACCCAGACAGATGGAATGCCAAGCAGGTTAAAAACATACAGGAGAAAACTGAGGACAGAGTAAATTCAGTATTCAGAGTTGGGAGGCTGGTTGTAACAAGACTCTCTCAAAAGATAATAGTCATTATTTAGATTGGCCACTAGATAGGAATAGGGGTGCACACATTACTCACTACAAATATGGGCAAAGAATGAAAAAATTACCGGGTGTTCCTTGGGTTCATGCTTAATATTGTGTTCATAATTTGAATCAAAGAAAAGTTTCCTGTTATCCTTAAAATCTGTCTTATATCAAGTTCCATACAAACTAGATTAAAACATATGTGGGGGAGTAACATTTGATAGTTAATCTCAAAGTTGCATGAACACACTTGGAAGGCTAAGCATGTTTGGCATGTCGGAATATCAAGTTTGGCCAGCACTGGTTAAGGCATATCCACTCTAGACAGAAAAACACAATCCAAAGTGTTGAGTGAAGGAATACCAACTTTAGTTGACAATTCAGGTCCAAAGCCTTACTGCCTCTTTTATTTCGGTCCTATTCAATCACATTCTAGATTTTATTATTTTGATCAAGCACATGGATGTGTATAGCACAACAAATAAACACACTTCAGATTTATATATGCACAGCTGAATATCCACACATATGTATCTTTAAAAACAGAGCTGAAAAATTAACATTAACAAAACATATATGTCTCCTAAACTGAGGCCATTTGATGTTAGGATCTTAAGACTATAGATCCCCAGATTTGCTCTTTTGCCCAAAAATAGCACCTCAGTTCCAAACTGGGACAAATCAGAGATGCTGTATTGTTTTGAGATGCCTAGCCATTGGTTACTTATAGGGCAACTGAGGAGATACACTCGAAGATACCACAGGGATGAATACCCAACTGCCCTTTTACCCCTTGGTACCAACAATCCACTGAGACTGATGCCTTGTCAAGTTGGACATGACTATATGGAATTAATATGGATGTGTATACACACCTAAAAGGGCAGTTGGGTATTCATCCCTGTGGTATCTTTGATAATATTATAATGTAATACAATATACTACTATTATTAATAATATGATATTATAATTATATATTTTATATTAAATGTAGTATTACTAATATTACAGTATAATGTCATAGTGCAATGTAATATATAATATTAATATTGTACTATCATAATAATATAATATATTGTATTTACTTTTTACTTGTAAGCCGCTATTAGTCCCCTTTGGGGTAAGAAGGGTGGCATATAAATGTCGCAAATAAATAAATAAATAAATAAAGGTTTCTCCTTGAAATTAATTTTAGTCATGCCCGATTCTGGAGGGTGCTCATCTCCATTTCTAAGCCGAAGAGTCGGCATTGTCTGTAGACGCCTCCTAGGTCATGTGACCAGCATGACTGCATGGAGCACCATTACCTTTTTGAAAACACAGACAGAGAACTGCTTTCCTGCATTGCTCATCATGTTGCACTTTAAATCTCACCACCCCCGCCCAATTTATAGGAAATTTGTAGTTCCCAGACCAAATCTTGTATCATAGAAGTTAGAGACACAAAACTAAAATAGCAGCTTGAAATTTAGGAAATGTTTGTGTTGAATCATCATTATTCATGTTGTACAGGCAAGCAACCCAAGGGCATGTTTGCCATTGAAAACTGCCGTGCCCAACTGGCTTTGCACCTGCGCAAGGACTCTCGGAGGAACTGCTGTTTTGAGTTGACCTGCCCTGGGAAACGTACCTATGAGGTAGGTTTGACAAGTTCTTTCACCCCTTGTGGTACAGAGCAAACCTTGAATCCATGCAAGAATTCAGTTTGGTGCTAAGTGCAAGAAGGTGGACAACTTGGCACCCTTTGTCCATGTACTATAAGAACTATGGCTTGTAGAGAAGGGAAGCATCCATCATTTCCAAGATGAGAGTATCTGTAGGGAAAGATGAGCTGTTGCCCTCATAGCTTGTTGGTGAGTTTCCCAGAGGTAATGGTTGGACACTGTAGGAACAGAAGGCTGTTTGGTCTGATCCAAATGTCTTTATCCTAGTGATATCTGAGACAACTCCTTTTATGTTCATATATCTTCTTGACATCTTGTTACCTGGCCCTTACTGCATCACTCATGCTCACTCTCATCACTGTGTCCATCTTTCATTGATTCCTACCTGCAAAGGTGTTGATACTAAGGTGCAGGCCTGGAAGGAAAGGATTGCAGGATCGAAGCAGCTTCCCCTTCAAAGCACTGCCCAAGGGTGCCACCTAGAGGTGACGTGTGACAATGCTAGCTTTGCCCAATTCTGACTCCTAAATCTTTTAATGAATGGATGCTCATGCACAGCTTTAGTTTTGCATGTATTTATGGTAGTAGTAACTGTCACTCCTGGATACACCCACAGAGCATCGCACTGTTGTGGCTGTTCATTTTGCCCCTTGTTCATTGCCCTCCTCTTCATACCTTGTCAGTAATCATATATTACCTCCTTTTGGGAATGTGATTTTTTTTTATTAAATCTGTTTAAATGTAATGGATTTGTGTGAAGACTGGTTTTCCCAGTTTGTATAATGTGAGCTCTCTGTATCTGTTTTATAGGATATTGAACCATGTGCATTTAGAATAATCAGTTCCCCCAAAGGAAATAAACCAGATCTCGTTCAATTGATGGACCAGAACTTAGAAAAGTTACTTTTATGCACTACAATTTCCAGAATCCCCATCCAGCACAAGCTAATAGCTGAGGATTTCTGTGTGTCTAAAAATAACTTTATAGGCGCTTAGCTGAACACATTTCAAAGCAAATTCTGCAAAGCAAAGGGTTTACATGGAAGAAGGAAGGATGGGATGTGGGGCACTGCAATATGTTTGTCTGAACAAAAACATTACAAGACAAGGCTCATTTACATATTGCACACACGCACACACACACACACACACACACACACATATATATATATATATATAATTAGATTTCTCATCGCTCAGTGGTTTCTCCACTAAATATGTAAACTTCTTCTATGAAAACATGTTGTATTTCAAATGTCATTTAGAGATAATGTGGGATCTTTGTTTGTGATACAAGCATTTATAAACACGCCATTAATGCAGTAGTCACATCAAAACAAAACAAAAATAGCATGTTGAATTAGGATACTGTGCTGCCTGAGGTTTAACGTCTGTCAATTATTAGTGCAGTTTGTGTGTACAATCATATTGAAATCAGTAAGTGCAGATTCTCCATAGTTATCTTACAATGACCATCGTGAATTCTTCTTTTTTAGTTCACAGCTGCTAACCCTGCTGAAGCAATGGACTGGGTGGACCAGATCCTGTTCTTGCTAAAAGGTGAGCCAATAATGAGAGATCAAAGCCATCTGTTCATGGTCTGGAATGACTCACGTATACATGCATATAATTTAGTTACTTAACACTGATAACATACATCTCAGTAAACAAACTGATATCACTTACAAGCTTGGTGCTTCAGAGAATACACAAAGATATGAAAGTTATGTCTATGTGATGTTTGCTAGTCATTCACACTTGCCATACCACCTTGCACATTCCAAAACTTATCTGGTTCCAGAAGCTAAGCAGATTGGGTCTGCTTACTGCTTGAATAGGATGCCATCAAAGAGTACTATGAATGTTCAGGATCGAAGCCTGCTAGAAAAAATGCTACCAATCAAACAGCACTAAACTAGGTACACCACTGCCTCTGATACAGTATAAGACAGTTTCATGTGTCCCTTTATTGCCAGTCACCACTGCTTTGTATTCTTTGAGTGATGTCTGTGGGTACTTCTAAACAAACAGATCTCCCACCCTGGACATTCCACAGACATAGAAACCTTACTTGCCTAGTTTCCAACAGACCTCACAACCTCTGAGAATGCTTGCCATAGATGTGGGTGAAATATCAGGAGAGAATGCTTCTAGAACATGGCCAGACAGCCCAGAAAACACACAACAACCCAGACAGATCTTAGTGCTACTGATTAAAAACATTGTGTAGTTATTCCCTCTAAATGATGTCTAGACTCACAGTCCATGTGTGAATGAGGCAGATATTTATTTATCGTGTCAGGAGCAAACAAAACAGTTGTATTGCTTCTGGAGTGAGAGAATCGGCCATCTACAAAGACGTTGCCTAGGGGATGCCCGGATGTCTTGCAATCCAGTGGGGAGGCTTCTCTCATGTCCCCCAATGAGGCAGATGAAGCCATGCCATTCTGTGAATGATAAAAGCAACATTAGAAACTGCCCTCCGTTATTCAGGCAAGGCTCTGAGTCTAGGGTTGAGCAAGGTATAATCTCCAGACTACAGGAGGAATTAGCCCTCCTTCTCTAGGAGAACTGTGCTACCAATGAGCTTTTTTAAATTCTTGAAAACCATAGCTTTGCTTTTGTTAGATTTCTTATCCTTATTCAGCAAAACAGGCAAACATTCCTAAGAATCCTAGCTTTGTGTCTTTAAAAAAATAAGGCTCTGAAATCAGAAATCCATGTAAACATGGTGATAAGGCTATCTGCAAGTCTCAGAAAACAGAAGACAATCTTTAATCAGAAACATCAATATAGCTATATCTCCAAAGTTGCCATTGGTGTATATCTCTGTGGTATGCACATGCATAAATACCAACATATTTTTAAATGGCTGTATTGGTTCACACGGGCGGGGGAAGGGGCATATTCATCTTAATTAATTCAGGTATCTCCCCTTCCTAAGTGTGTATTAAGACTATCCTTTTTATTTTGCAAAAACATAATGTATTTCTCCAATGTGTGCTATCATCTGACCAGCGCCCTTTACTTACTCCTAACTTGTGCTTCTTGTGCTATCAGATGTGAAGGAACCAGCTGGGGCCCCACACCATTGGCAGAGACTGATCCATATTTATGCTCAGTGGCTATAACAGTGAATTTCTTTTTTAGAAATTCACTGTGGATCAGCAGTGATGACTTCTTGAATAGAACCAGCTCACAGACCACCACTTTCCCATAATAATAATAATAATAATAATAATAATAATAATAATAATAATACTGAGTCCGTATATGCAAGACATATTCTCAAGATTGCCTAACAGAATGCATTCACACTGTACAGTGCTTGTTTCCACTTTAACTGTCTTGAATCCAGTCTACAGAATCCTGAGATGTGTAGTTGATGAGATTTGATTGGAATTCTCTGCTAAAGAGATCTAGAGCAGTGGTTCTCAATCTTTGTTCCTATGGATGTTCAAACTTGAGCTCTTAGAAGCCCCAGATAGCATGAGCCATATTCAGACTTTCTGAGCATTGAAGTACATAATATATTGAATAGTCACGAATTTAGAGTAAGTGATCTAGTTCACTTCTGTTCTGTTTATTTATTTATGTATTTATTTACTTACTTACTTCTATGTGTATCCCGCCTTTCTCTACCCTGAAGGGGACTCAAGGCGGCTTTACATATGGCAACTATTCAATGCCTTTGAACAACAGTTAAAATACATTAAGTTAAAGATTTAAAATTAAAATTAAATGCACATTAAAACCATATAAAACATTGGAATCACTATTACAAATCATGCCATCCACAATCGTAATGCGAGGCCATTCCAAAAGTAATTGCACGTAATTCCATAGCTATTATGGCACTGTAGTTAATCTCCAAAGGCTTGACCACAGAGCCAGGTCTTCGCTTTCCTTCTGAAGGCCAGGAGGGAGGAAGTTGCTCTAATATAACTGAGGAGGGAGTTCCACAGCCAAGGAGTCACCACTGAGAAGGCCCTGTCACTCGTCCCCACCAGTTGTGCCTGCAAAGGAGGGATGATTGAGAGCAGGGTCTCACTGGATGATCTTAATCTCTGAGCACTAGAGCTCTCTAGCAAATAATTCCATTTATATCACTAAACTACAATTCCCCAGGAATCTGTAGGGCAGAACCATGAAAATTTCAGTGATCACAAACTATTTTAATGGTGTTGACATCCCCAACACGAGTGTCGCATTCATAATAGGGAAGGTAAACCAGGGTAACTTTTTCAGCCTTTTTGTATTTGCATATGGTTGTTATTCCTAATCATTCTATATATGTATGGTTATGCGACAAGGGTCTTGTAGCCCTTTCAGATTAATTGGTTCTCTAGTCCAAAAGTATGATTGCACAGAAGTGGACAAAACTGAGCAAAGAATAAAATCTGGGATAATTCCCTCTCTCTTTTCCTCATCCCAGCACACTTCATGATTTGCCTCCTTATCTTTCCTGAGCATTTGTTTTGGACAGAAAAATAAAGCTCTGATGATCATGGCTGTTGGCACTACGTGATGGGTTAATTTAAAAGTAAACTGGCATCAGCTTTGCTGAAGGCATTTTGTAGGTTGTGAAGTTATGCTCCCAAAGTGCCCTCTCCTGGCCATTATGGGAAACCTATATTGGTGCTGGTTTTTAGGGACTTTTTTAATGTTCCAGTTTTCATAAATCATGGAGCTGAGAGGAACTAGAAATTAATTCCTTCTCAACTCCAAAGTAAAATAATCTACACATCATACTCACCAACCTAGTGTCATTACCCAAATTAATTCAGACCACAGCAGGCAGGAACAAAAATAGCAGACCACAGCAAGCTACCTGCTAAGCAGAAGTCTCCAGAAATAACTGCAAGGATATTTTTCTTGGAGAAAAGATCCTCCTCTGTCCCCAAATAAGCTTCCTATAAGAGCAGGGGGCAGCTTAAGTAGCTTTTTTTTTACAGCCTGTTTCTTCAGTAGCTTCAATCTCTATTACAATGAAAGAAATAGGAAGGATATTAGGCTTATTCTGTCTGTAAGATGTAAGGCACTAGGTCTCTCTTACAGAGCATTCTGTGCTTGTTATTGTGTGCCTCCAAGTTGTGTCTAATATAGGGTGACCCTAATGTGAACCTATCATGGGGTTTTCTTGGCAATGTTTGTTCAGGGCAGATTTGGCATTGCCAAGGTTATTAATAGGTTTCCATGGTCATGCTGGGAGCTAAAACTTGGTTTCCCAGAGTCCTAGTCCAGTGCTTGAACCATTGAGCACACTGGCTATCAAATTCTAAATACATAGCCAATTACACATCCAGGGTTCCTTAAGACAGAACCATGATAGCTGTATTATGGATCTGAAAAACACACCTAAGGTTCACTAGGCCATGCCCTTGGGTCCATTCTGCTTAGGTCACAGTAACATAGCAAGCTACGATCTATGCTGATAGGCAGAATACGGTACTATTCCTTTGTTTTTGCAAAACCTTAACCAGCAAGCTTCAGCACTCAAGATTCAAGGCTATGGCCCTCAGACCATCAGAAGTGTGACTTTTCCAAGGTTAAGCCCAATGTCCTTCTTTCTAGTGAGAATCCCAGATTCACTGCATGAGTTCATACAGCTTGTGGAATTATATTTTGCTGATGTAGTATTTAGTGATGGATTTCATCTGAACAATTTTCTGATTAACAGTATCTCTTGGGAGGAACTAACGTGCATTGCAGAGCCAAGGAACCCTGTGGCCATGCAGATGTTGCTCTTGTCCCCATTAGGCAGCCTGGCCAGTGGTCAGGCATGATGGAAAAAGCAGAACAGACAATCCACAAACACACAAAGATTCCAGTCCAGCAAAGCATTATCTTGATGTGTGGAAGTACATATCCATGTACAGATTTATACTACCATACATAGAACCCACATACTTCCCCAAGCCTACTGCCTGCAGGTTTTGTTCTAAATCTCCCATGAGCCAAAATGGCTAATCATGAGTGACCATGGAAATTGTAGTCCAAAACATCCATCATCACTCATGCCAATTTGAGGAAAACTGCAAGAGCTGTCTCTTGGTAACTATCTCTTGCATCTTACCATGCAGCTTGCATACATATCTGTGACATTGATCCTCAGGTTTGGAAAGTATAGCAGGAAATGGCAGAATGACATTTTGCTGTCCTTTTCCTTCATATGTGCAAGTGTATGTATTTCTGCCATAGAATCCTTCTCTGATCTCTGAAACATATTCAAGGATAGTGGCTCAGTAGGGCCACGGTGGCACAATGTGTTAAACTGCTGAGCTGCTGAACTTGCCAACCAGAAGGTTGGCGGTTAAAATCCACGGGACAGGGTGAGTTCCTGCTGTTAGCATCAGCTTCTGCCAACCTAGCAGTTCAAAAACATGCAAATGTGAGTAGATCAGTAGGTTTTACTGAAGCAGGCTTTTCTCCCCTTGAGCAATTGCTCAAGAGCTTAGCCAAAATGCTCCGTTCAAGTTCAGTTGCGGACGCAGATGAGTCAGGGAAAACAGCCAACAGGGTTCAAAAGAAATCAGAGTATTTTATTAGCAGCTGCTAAGATGGCTTCTGACACAACAAGGCGTCTCTGGGGGAAGCCACCCCGCACAAAGGGTTAGGGGTTTCTTTTATACATGCAAAGGGGTTCGGCTTTAAGAGCCGCCCCAAAGATTAAATCATTGGTTAAGAAAGCTGTCAATATTATMTTTACGTTAAGCAATTAGATCATAYACTTTTTAAGTTTCGTTTCYCAATAAGCAAGCCCTTTCTGGAAACATCWCAAGATGCTGATACAGCTTGGAGACATCTGCTGAYCTGGCAAGCTYAAYTYAGCCTTTGGCTGGTMCCTYTCTGCAAAGTCAGCACTGTCTCYTGACCGAYACTTCACCMYTGYWCAAAAAACTTATCTTTGGCACCAAAACCCGTCTTTGTCTCCCATATATGGTCAAGTCCATATCCGTTCTCTTTTCTACATGAAGACCCCGGCATTTTGTAAAACTAAAGCTTATTTCTTTCTGCCTTATTACCACCTTGACGGGAAGGTAAACAGMGCTCAATGCAGTCATGGCGTCCACATTACCTAGGAGGTGTGTACGAACAACATACCTCCTAGGCTCTTCGGCTTAGAAATTGAGATGAGCACCATCACCTCAGAGTCGGAAATGACTGGACATAATGTCAAAGGGAAACCTTTACCTTTTTATATGCTGTATAATATAATTATTGCATGATCAGCCATGTACATGTCCATGTTGTATCATGATAAAACACGCATGTTCAATCCCGGTTATACTAGTAGTTAAGAGTCATAATCTTTCTATCAAAAATCATATAAATAACATTGTAGAAATAGTTGAAGAAGACCTTAAAAATAATTTAGCCCACACCTCTGCTCAATGCTGAACAGTATGTTCCCATAAAATCCCTGACAGAAGGAAGTCAATTCAACCTCTGTGTTCAAGTATCTAAGCAAATACATCCATCACAAGAGAATCCTTTGTGACTCACAATTATTTCTCCTACGAATGTTGGATCTAATGATTGCCTTATGAGTCTAACACTTTTTCCCTATCAACTTGCATTTTCTTTTTCTTCCAGATATGAAATCCTTTGTTATTCCTTGTGAGGAGGAAGATGAGGACAGCCATGACAAAGAGGAGGCCTATGATGACATAGACAGCTTTGACTCCCCCAATGCAACTCTTCATAAGGATATGACTTTGAACCTGGAGGAAGAGGAGGCCAAAGAAGAGAGTGATGAGTACATTTATGAAATCCTTCCAGGTGAACTGGCTTTCCCTTCTTCTGAAGTAGTTGTATTCTGAGCCAGATCTTTGATCCTATTCTTGGAAAAATTCATTATTATTTTTTTGGCTGGAGGATTCTGAGAGTCTTAATCCAAAAAACTCACACCATTCTTTGCTCTGAGGAGACTCATCCTTCTCATCATTACTGTTCTTATACAGTCACTTTTCCCTGCCCTTGGAGCGTCCATTTGAAACCTGGTCTACAAACTAACTTCTGGCAGGAATACATTATTATGCAAATCACTATGAATACTGATGAATGCTCAATTTGCAAATGGAAATACTGCCACCACTTTAAACAGCATCTGATGGATCGGAGTCCAGTGACATATCGTGTCTTTGTATATATATATTTGAATATATATCTATGTTTGAATATATATGTGCATAGACATACATACACACACATATTGTATACTGTTGGCCCTCTATATCCATGGATTCCGTACCCATGGAGTCAATTATCCACAGCTTGAAAATATTTTCTACAAAAAAAGCAAATCTCAATTTTAGCATTGCAAGTAAGAAACACTATTGTATATAATGGAACTTGAGTGTCCACAGATTTTGGTTTCTAAGGGGGGGGGGGCGGTTGTTCTTGAACAAAACCCCACTGGATACCAAGGATTTGCTGTATAAACTGTATATATGGTTCTTCTCAGCCTTTAGGCTCTAATGCTTCTATTACTAACTAGGCAGTAGGGTTGGTTATGATGAACAATAAAACTTATTTTAATGAATGCAAATCAAGACATTTTATAGATGTTATTTAATTTTTTACTCTCTAGCACTTAAACACTTGTAGTTGCAGATTCTTTTATATTAATACAACAGCAACAAACTAAATCTTACCCCATAAAATAATCTCCTTTCCCGCAGTCTTTCTCTCTCCTCTCAAAACTCAGAACTCTCCCATCTGTGCCTTCATTAAAAGCTTAATCTTGTTGGACACTTTTATTCTCACACTGCTCATATTGTTGCAACAGTACCCTTACAGTCACTGTATCAGTCAATCACCTTCCATATACTAAGTCACTTCATCCTAAATTCTGTACCTCACACTTAGTCTTAATATAGCACATATTAGCATTGCTGTTGTTATGTGCTTTTAGGCTGTTCTGAATTTTGTCAACTCTCTCATAGGATTTTCTTGGTAGATTTATCCAGAGGAAGTTTTCCATTGCTTCTGAGGCTGAGAGAGGATGACCTGCCCAAGGTCTGGTAGTGTGTTTCCATGGCTTCAAACCATAGATTCCCAGAATCTAGTCCAACATCCTAACCACTAAACCGCAAACAACCTAATATCATGTGTTTTATCTCAGGAGGCAAAACATCTCAGACTGGTCCTGACTCCTGCTCTCTTGTTTCCTGAGTTTATTCAGCTTTCTTAACTGTTAGCAGTCTCTCTTAGCTTTGTGTCATCTACAACTGCAGAAAAACATCAGAAGACAAGTAAAGGGGTCATCAAGGAAGCAATGTGGACTCCCTTCACATTGTTTTTGACATTCCAGAAGGAAAGGAAAATTCCCTTGCCAAACAAGTTGGTGCCATTTGAAGAGCAGTTGTGGAGAATAGATTTAGGTCTTCAGTATGGACAGCAGAGGTAGACATGCACACATCATCTTTGAAAGCTGAAGTTTAGGGAATGCAGAATGCTATGGCAGAATATTAGTTTATATATTTGTATAGAAACCCAGCATACTAAAAAAGAAAAAAAATGATGATATTGGTATTGAGCATCCCTTTAAAATCTGTGCTTGGAGGAAGCACTGCAGAAAAGATGCTGTTTTCTGTATTGTCAAAGGCTTTCATGGCCAGAAACACTAGGTTGTTGTCGGTTTTTTGGGCTGTATGGCCATGTTCTAGAAGCATTCTCTCCTGACATTTTGCCGGCATCTGTGGCAAGCATCCTCAGAGGTTGTGAGGTTTGTTGGAAACTAGGAACATTGGTTTTATATATCTGTGGAAGGTCCAGGGTGGGAGAAAGAACTCTTGTCTGTTGGAGCTAGGTGTGAATGTTTCAATTGGCCATCTTGATTAGCATTTGATGGCCTGACAGTTTTTAGGTGTGGCTTGTTACTGCCTGGGAAATTCCTATGTTGAGAGGCGGATTAGGTGTTCCTGATTGTTTCTTGTCTGGAGTTCTCCTGTGTTTGAGTTTTGTTTTTTATTTACTGTTATAATGTTAGAGGTTTTTTTTAGTACTGGTAGCCAGATTTTGTTCATTTTCACAGTTTCTTCCTTTCTGTTGAAATTGTCCGCCTGCTTGTGGATTTCAATGGCTTCTCTGTGTAGCCTGACATGGTAGTTGTTAAAGTGGTCCAGCATTTCTGTGTTCTCAAATAATATGCTGCGTCCAGGTTGGTTCATCAGGTGCTCCGCTAAGGCTGACTTCACTGTTTGAAGTAGTCTGCAGTTCCTTTCATGTGCCTTGATATGTGTTCATGTTCGTTTCCAACAAACCTCATATCCTCTGAGGATGCTTGCCACAGATGCAGGCAAAACTTCAGGAGAGAATGCTTCTAGAACATGGCCATACAGCCCAAAAACCTACAACAACCCATGCTGTTTTATTTCCCAAATGTTAAGACACTTATGGCAAATCCATCACATGGTTTGACTGGCAAGGTTTGTTCAAAAGGGGTTGTCTTTGCCTTTCTCTCAAGCGGAAAGAGTGTGACTTATTTAAGATCACCCAGTGGGGTTTCCATGGCCATGTGGGGAGACTGAACCTGGGTCTCCAGAGCAGTAGTCCAATGCTCAAACCATACCAGGTCCATTATAGAATATAGTTTCCTTTTAATGAGGGAAGACCAGAAGCTTTCTATCTTCCTGGCTTTATTTGCAAATATACAATAAAATGTATGGGAAACCATAAGACAGCAGTTACTGCTCTTGCATTAAATTAGCAAAGAGAGCAATTCTTGACCTTTTCATGGATTAGCAAAGAGCCAACTCTTGACCTTCTCACAGATCCCTAAGAGCTTGCAATCCCAATAAAACACAGCTCTTTGCTTCTGTCAAGACTGAAAGTTGCTACAATTTCTCTGCCTCTCCCACTAGCTCTATTTAGTGAGACATTCTGAAGGCAGGGGAGAGATTTCCAGGCCATTAAGGAAAACATCCCCAGTCATTAACACTCTTTTGTCAAGCCCCTGATTATCCCTTAGTTGGCCAGATGAAGCCAATCAAGACAACAGAACCTGAGTCATAACAACATTTGATGTGAATATAAATTCACCCTCCTATTAAGATGTGGATGACAAAACAGTCTCACTATCCCTTTCACTACACACGGAATGGCAAAGCCGATCTCTTCTGCTAGTCAGATTATAGTTCCTTCAGTTTCTCCATGCAGAAAGTTTGGCATTAGCACCTGGAGGGCAGGAGGAATCTATACTTCTACACATAGATCTACTCTTGTTTTATGTATTTGTAGCAGATCCCATAAGGATGGATTTCATATTTCTAATGGCTCTTCATATGTGAAACATCTCTACTAGAAGTGCTGGGGAATCTCAGATGTTAGGAAAAGGAATACCTGAGTTTAGCCCTGTCTCTAGCTACTCATGGAGGACTAGAAATTTGACACAAAAACTTGTGCAGTCCAGGGATGAAACCCAACAAGAAGGAAGCTCCTTCTTTGGAGGCTTTCAGAGGCTGGATGGCCATCTGTCAGATGTATTTTGCTTATGCTTTTCCTGCATTGCAGGGGGTTAGACTAGAAGGCCCATGTGGTCTCTTCCAACTCTCTGATTCTGATTCTATACTACTTAGAAGAGGATTTCCACACCAGAGAGAAATAGGCATTTCAGTGCTATTTTTAGAACGGTTAAATAAACACATGTGCTTTTTCTGTAGGGAAACCATTCAAGTCCAGTAGTCCACTTCACTATGGTGCAGGTTTTTTGTAATGTCTGGCTTGAGAGAGAATTTATCTTGTCACAGAAACAAGATGAATTTCTAATCCTGAAAATGAGCTGTCCACTGACATCTCCCACATGCTTTTCTGTTGCAACCAGCATCTTGTGCTTATTTCTAGATCAGAAGCCAAACCCAGTCTTATACTGATAAAGCATAATATATTTTATTTTCCTGCCTGCTTCTCTACAGCTACCCTCATTGCTCAAAAACTGGCTTCAGAAGGTTGCCCAGCCCTCCAGAGCCATGGGGGGGGGGGTGGTTATAGAAGGCTCTAGTGAGGATCTCCTCATTACACTTGATTCTGCTGCTCCAAAAGCAGAAATCTGTCATGGAATTCTGCTTTGAGAGGGAACATTTGGCTTTCCAGACTTGCTGGACCATAACTCTTAACCATTGCTGGTTGTAATCCTCTGGCTCAGGACCAAACAAACCTCTGAGGATGCCTGCCATATAAGCAGGTGAAACATCGGGAGAGAATGCTACTGGAACATACAGCCCAAAAAACTCACAGCAATCCAGTGAAGTTCTTGTTTACGACTTCTTATTGGGGAATTATTTCATATTTGGGGACCAAGCAGTGACAAGTCCTGAAACGTTTCTAGAATAGCATCATAGAAGATATGTACCTATATAAATTGCTAAGTAGGGTGGCCATTTACATCTATATCCAACCTAATGGAATTCTCTTGGTATCATTGCTATATAAACACTTAAATGTGTGCTGAAGTGCCGACTTATACATGTTCAGAGATAGGCGTTGAACTTGCCTTCCGTACCCTTATATGGCAGCATTTCAGATGCTCTGTACATATCAATACCCTATTGTACATTCACAACAACATGTGTTAGACTAGAAGAACAGCACTATATCATTTCTAACATGAGAATGAGATACTCTGAACCTGTTCAGAGGTACTAGTTGTGTTTTTCATTGTACAGTCTGTTAGGGAAAAACTATCCTAAAATATACAGCAGAGCATCCCAAAACAAACAGGATACAAAAGTTGAGCATCAGCTCATTAACGAGCAAAGTGTGAAGTGCCGTGTGATGTG